CCAGAAGACAGGGATCAATGGGCACCAGCACTCCAAGAAGCACAAATCCAGCCTGCTGATGCTAGTGACAGCCTCTCCAGAGAGGAGAACTCATGCATATAGGGCTTTAATAAGGCTGAGAGAAAAGAGTCTCATCAACCTATGCTTCCTCTGACCTGCAGTGGAAAATACTGTATTTTTAGAAACAACAGAGATTACATTATTGCTGTGGATGCAATGACACCGATAGCCCATGACTACACAGCATCATTTTGGCTTCTGAGTGGAGTGTGAGGCAAATTCACCATGAATATGGAGGGCAAAAGATGGGATCTGGTCCATAATCCCCTACATCACCTGAAAAATATTAACCCCCTTATTATTTTAGGGGCATGGGACTCCTATTAGGTCCCTAGTCAAAAAATGTCAGGGGTGGGGGTGGAACACAAAAAAAACCAAAAAAAAACCAACCAACCAAACCAAAAAAAAACCAAAAAACAACTTGATTCAAGGAGAAGTGGGTTTTTCTCCATTTGTCAGAGGACATTTCCATTTCTGGAACTCTTACTAATGCAAATAGAAGATGCTTCAGTGGGCTAGCACTATGGTTTCCCCACAGCATCAATGTTAACATCCTGGTTATCAGCTAGCAGAGCTAGCTCAGCTTATAAGAGGATGAACTTGTGTACTGTGTGCCTGCATTTTTTCTTTTTAAGAGGAGTTAGGGCTATAATTTTAGTAGTTTCAGTCTCAAACAGAGGATCCCATATGCTAAGTGAGTTCTGGGGTCTTCAAAAAAATGGATCAATGGGGTAGCAGCCAAAGCCAACACTGGGACCTGGTGCAACATATTGATTTTTGGTGGTGGCGATCCCTCCAGACCCTCAAGAAATAATAAACCACTCAAACTGAAGTCTGAGAAAAAGCAACTGGTCTACAGGCCCTAAGGATGTCTTGGTTTCATTTCCACTGTAAATAAACCTCAGGCAGCTTGAATGCCAACATACAAATACCAGTTGTCCGTAGAAATAATTCATAATATAGAATTCCTCAGAGAAGAAATGACAGATGGAAATAAATGTTTTTATTTCTCTGAAAAACTGACCACTGGTCAAAAAAAATGCTTTTCTCACCCCCCAAAATCCAACCCTCCCTCCCCTCCCCCAAGTCATGTAATGGAAACATTAAAGAAAAATTCACTTGACAACTCATTTGGGTGGCAGTAAAAACCCTGTAATTAGTATAGAAATCAATTTTTAAAGCTTGCTGCAAAAAATTATGCTTATGAACAAAATGTTTGACTTCAAATTGAATTCAGTGCCTGTTCAGCATAAAGGAAAATAATTGAATGGGTGTCTCAACTTTCATGTTTTCAGAGTTTACTAAGTTTTCTCCATTGGTTTTCGTTATGCATTTTAGCGGGCATCGTAAAACAATGTGTTAACTCGACTTGCTTGTTGCCAGTCAAGCACTGAGATGATCTGCTTCCTTCTATAGACATGTGGCAATGGAGAGGGAAAACATTCATTGGGCCAGACTGCCTGGCTAGTATGTACCTGAAGACAGAATAAATCAGCAGCACCTACTTACCAGTACTGCTTCTGGAAAGAGAGAACAACCCAGGGACAAAGCAGGACTTCACTTTCTGTAGCATGGAGTAAATTAGCTCAGTCTTCAACGGGACACTCAGTTTTAAGGTTTGTCCAATCATGCCAGGATCCATACTTACATTACACAGCTGTTTGGTACATTAAGGAGGTGACAGGGGAAGAAGTAAACCCTGGGTTGATGGTTACTGCAGAAATCCAGCATTTGCATTACCCAAAGAAAAGGTGAGGACCAAATTCCTCTGCCTGTGTCTCACTGTGGGAAGGGGAGTTGGTGCCATCTGCAATCTTTGCACGACTGCAAGAGTTCTCCTGGCAGCTGCTTAACCAACTTGCTGAAGTACAACGTTGGCAGCTACTGCTCACTGCAGCTCTGCCTCTTGTTATTAAACACAGCACCACTGATGGCATAAAATGGAGTCAACACTTTCTCATAAAAAAATACATACACTTAGATGCCAAAATTACAAACCTCCAGAAACAAGACGACAGTCATCTGGTCCTTCTTGGTTCTCCCACTCCCCCCACTTTCCTGGAGGAATTGCTCATTTGTTTGTTGATCAGTTTTTCTAAAGAACATTTTAAAAACACATGGTTATAAAATCAGTTGCAAACTGGACTAATTTCATTTGCTCTCTAAAAATCTACAGCCAGTTTATTCCTGCATACATTTTTAATCAGCCATTAGTTTGAATATTCATGACCTCTTACTCCATGACCACATTGTAATAGCAGAATCATTTACATCCAGGTCTGAGAGTGATTTTTGGCTCCATCAACAACAAAAGCAGGCTTGCTGAGAGGGTGACCAGCCAGCTGAAGATTTGGGAGGAGCACAGTGGTATCTTCAAGGTCATTGACTTGGACAGATACATGCTGAGCAAGCAAAACCACCAGCAGAGCACAACCTGCTGGCTTTAGGATCCACATGCTGGAAAGCATCACAGGCAAAGCTCCTCGCTTTCCACACCCTCCCTGGCAGTGTGGGCCCTTCCAGTACTGGAGGGATACTTTTGGGGCTGCTGATGCTCCTGGCCAGGCAGGCTTGTGGTGCCTGCTCGCCAAAGAGCAGAGAAAGGAGCTGCACTCCCCCCAGCTCCAGCCTGCACTGGAGCATAAGCCCATATGCACAGATGGGGGCCAGCAGGGCAGGTCCGGATGTGGGAATACCTTTGGGCTGAACAGAGAGTGTAAACACATCCCCTGGGACACTGTGGAGGCCCCAGAAAGTGCAGCTCCACCAGCATGCATGAGAGGATCTGCGCAGCAGTCTCTGAAGAATCACATCACCTTTCACTGGTACTTGTGTACTCTCAAACCCACGGGGACCGGCATCCTTTTCGACATCACAAATTTCATCACTTCCAACGGTTTGAAGATCTGTTAAAAATATTTATTTCCCTGGGTTTTAGCTTTCCAGCTTCTACGCAGACTAACAACCAAATTGTGGGCAGTAAGAGCAAGCATTTGTTTATTTTGTAAGAGGACTTCTTGCTGCTGATTGAAAACAAGCATTTTCAATGAGGCAGCTGTTTCAGTACTGTGAATAGACAGATCAGCATCACATTGAAGATCTAATAGCCTGCTAATGAACCTTAATTTTTAGAGCCCACTCCCTCACCCATTTTCACATTTTAGTAATTCCAAACCATTGATATGTGCTGCCAGTTAAAGATGTCCTCAGACACCTTTAATAAAAACCAGAAAAAATGTAACTTGTTTTTTTTTTAGTTATCAGACAATATTAAAAATGTTGTTACATGTATCTAACAGTTTCTTTTTTGTTTTCTTAAATAAATACCAAAGTGTCACCAAAATGAATGGAACGCCAGCACCATTGTTGATAAAAATTTCCATACTAGGATGAACACACAGTCATATTCTGTAACAGTGCATAAAAAGAGGCTTTGGAGGAAAGGTGGTGGTTGCTGGTGCATCAACCCATGAGAGGTCCATGCAGTGGCATCAGGATGTGGCTCCTCTGCAAAATCTCACAGGCCTGGAGCTGGTGCCTGCAGAGGTGGCCTCAGTGAGACTCTGCAAGAGAGCAGCTCACAGGACATCTAATGCAGGATGTGGATTTACTGCCTGCTACCAAGGGACAGGCAGCCGATGGGTAACTCAAGGGGCTGGCCATGTCACTCTATAGGCAGAAGAACAATGGCTTGAAACGAGGGAAATGAGCAACTTGAAAACCAGACTGACTAACACTCAGCAAGGCGAGGGCTTGGAGAGTCAAAGCTGCCAACTCCTTAATCAAGGGGGAATGATGCAAGGATTCACTGTCACACAGAAGGTTACAGAACCAGGTGTCATTTTTTGATGGGTTTCCCTGGGCTGAGCCAGTGTTATTTTCAGGTCTGACCAACAGCCTCTCTTCCGACTAGGACAAAGCTTAAAAGAGACAGTGCTGAAGGAACAGCAGCCATGTGCACCACACCAGAAGATCCCTCAACAGCCTCTGCTGCCTTTAACTCACTCCACCCTGTGCAGGCAGCACTGTCTGCTCACTGCCTTGCCCCTCTACATGCTGGAGTGCAGTGAAATCCCACCTCTCTGCTTCTGTTGGCTTAAACCAGACCCTTGTTATTTTAAACAGGAGTTTATTGTATTTAATACATTATAAAATTTGAAAAAATTGTAGGAAAGCAGCAGATTCAAACCAGAGCATCTCTACCAAATATTAATTATTCTGGCCCCCTTTGAAAAACACAAAACAAAACAACAAAAAAACCTCATTCAAAAGAAAAGTTAACCTTTCACATCTGTGAGGGCAGACAAAAAGTGTGCGACTTCTGTACAAACTACATTTAAAATTTCAGCTTTCCAATGCAATGGATGGTTGTCTCCTGAACACCTGCCCATCCACCTCTAAAAAAGACAGACATAAACCTCCATATGCAAGTAAAGTTGAGTCAAGGTGTATACACATTAAAAAGTGGATGGCTGTTTGGCAATGAAAATGGGTGAAGAGTAGTCTATGAATCCCCCCCTGGAAATGGCTTGTACACCCTTAAGTGGGCCTGGGAAGGGCCTAGGACACTTAATGGCCATCACAGCACCAACCTCATCTACCACATTTTGTCATTGCATTTCCTACCCTTTGACATATACATACATATATATATGTACAGACATACATATACATACATATTTTTTATGTGTGTGTGTGTGTGTTTTCTTTTATACCTTGAGCTTATTATTATTATTATTATCACTACTATTCCAAGTGTTCCCATATGAATTCAGGTGTGGTCTCTATATTTGATATAAATGTGTCTTTTATTCAATTTTAGTTCCAGGACTTGGTTGGAGTCCAAACTGCACATGAAATGTCCCCCTTTTTTTTTTCCTCTTTGTTTTCCTTTTTTTTTTTTTTTTTTTTTTTTTTTTGCATAAAGAAGCATGTCCATTTTAGTCCAGAGGCTCTTGCTTTATTCGAATGACAGAGGGTGCACGAGATGTCCTTCTGAGTTCTCGTCTTAGTACGTATTCACTGAATTGGGAAGAGTCCACCCCACCTCCACATGAGCCAACAATCTCAAACCCTCTTTGCTGTAACCTCTCGAGTACCTGCAAAAAAAGAGGAAACAAACAGCAATTTATAAGTGAATAAACAGACTATTTGCTGTCCAACAATAATAACTGCTGTTTTTAAATGGATTCAGCCAGGGAAAAAAAAGAGTGGTTACATAGCTTAACTTAATAGTAACTGGATTGATTTCTGATGACTATGGCCACTGAGCAGTGAAAAAGAAAAAAATAAGAAAAATTTATTTCATTTTTTAGTACTGCCAACAAATCCAGTCTTCTTCTGGTCACAGAAACATGACTAGAAAAACACATTCTCGCTTCACAAAATTTACAACACAAAAGGGCAAATACATGATTGCACAGCAGATGCTGAGCAAACACCTCAACGACATGGTGACAGTGTAGATAACACGGTCATAATTTCAGAAAACCTACCACGATATTTACTAGAGACTTAAAAACTAACTCTTTGTTACTTTTGTCATCATCTTCACCTGTTCTGGGGTTCCTCTGCCTTCACCTGTGAAAGAGACTTCCTGGGATTTACCAGGGTTAGCCTGACAGCCACCAGCCCCAAGGAAGGGGCTGATGTTCCTGGACCTCAGAGGATGTGGGATCCTCTGTTCAGCATGACCAGACCTCACAAGGGTTGTGCTGGAATCAGATGCCTACCACAGCTTTCTCAGCTGTCTCACCAGTTGCCAAATTGGCTTGTATGTGTGCTGCAGAATGGCAAGCAGAATGGCAGAAGGCTGCAAAGGACTAGTGCAGGGGAAGAAGCAAACTGAGGTTTAAAAGTGCTTCAAAGAAGACATGCCATGTCTTTACATAAAATGCTTCAGCTTGGCAAATGTCATTCCAAAGTACTTAAGCATGGCTAATTGACCAGCAGTCATATCAAAAAGGAAGGGGTAGGAAAAGAGACTTGGAAACAGCGATCAAAACACATGTGATCTTTAACTTTTAACATTATATGCCAAAATCTCCCACCCCTGCCCAAAAATGTTGGTGCAAGCCACTGAAAAACAGAGCAGGAAAACTTGGGTCCTGAGAAAAAATGTGGTGGAAGCAACTCTGGAAACTAGCTCAGCCATGGACAATCCATTTGGCCTGTACCTCACTCTTCAGGTTTACTGGTAGTCCTTGTCCTGTCTCCCATTTCTATTAGACTGGGAGGTGCTTACATGTTCCTGTTATCAGTGTGGGACCATTACCTCTCTTGAGGCCTGTACATATTTTGCCACTGTGACTCCGGTTTTTCACATCAGTAAATATGCTTTGTAATTCTTATTGTGGATGTTGGGCTCTTCTACCAGGAAGCCAGCAACAGGTGAAGAGGAAATGGCCTCAAGATGCAGCAAGGGACATTCAGGCTGGGTTGGACATCAGAACAATTTCTTCACTATGAGGGTGATTAAGCATCGGAATGGACTATCCAGGGCATTGGTGAAGTCATATCCCTGGAAACACTCAATAAATGACTGGATGTGGCACTTAGTGCTGTGGTTTAGTTGACGTGGTGGTGTTTGATCAAAGGCTGAACTTGTTGATCTTGGAGATCTTTTCCAGCCTTAATGAGTCTGTGATTCTCTACATGGACAGTGGGACCTGGCAGGTGAAAAGATGCCAAGCTCAGCTTGCAAGCCTGTTCTGTACAAGAATTCACTCATGAGCCTTGCAGCATTTAGGAGGTGTGTTTAAACCAAACAGCATCAATTTGCTGTTGATGATCCCACATGGGAAGCACTGGCTATGCAGGATGTCCTAACTAGGTGCAGGCAGGTGTCTGAGGCTAGTTGCTTTTACCCAACAAAGGATAAAAACATAACACTAACACTGAAGTTGATTATAATTATTCCAGGAATTACCTGAATTTGTCTCCCAGATTTTTTCTTATCCATTTGGTAACATCTACAGATATTAGACATTGCTATATTGCATCATAGAATACTTTGGGTTGAAAGGCACCTTTAAAGATGATCCAGTTCAACCCCTCTGCAATGAGCAGGGACATTAACTAAATCAGGCTGCTCAGAGCCCTGTCCAGCCTGGCCCTTGAATATTTCCAAGGATGAGGCATCCACCACCTCTCTGGGCAACCTGTTCCAGTGTTTCACCACCCTCACTACAAAATTTTCCTCCTTTTATCTAGTAAAAATCTACCCTATTTTAGTTTAAATCATTACCCCTTGTCCTATCAATTGCAACAGGCCTCTACTACACTGTAAAAAACTAGGAACAAACACTGCAAGTGAAGGGTTTTCCCTATGACCACAGAAAATTCTAACACTACTGTAGTTTGTTTGCAAAGAGATTTGGTGATACGTGAATTAAATGGGGAAAGACAACTCGACACACAGACGTAAATAACTTGCTTAAAGCCTCCAGCTGATTCTGCTCACCAAAAAGCTCCAGTGACATGGAACAGGGTCGGCCTGCTGGTTCCTGACCAGCAGAACACCTCCTCTATCAATGACTTATCTCCACTCAGTGTAATCCTCTCGCCGAGATCTGGGGCAACTCGCACCACCAGGCACTCGCAAGACTTTGAGAAGCGGCCACTCTCCCGGTCCTGTTTCCACCGTTCCATCTCTCCTAGCATGGGCTGAAGCTGGAAATATTTTGCTTCTTCATATAACAAGCTGTAGTCCTGAAAGACACATACATTACTGTGCACAATTAAAAGAGACATTGCTAATGTGGTGCTTAAGGTGTATGGTTATTCAGGCCAATGCTGCTCCAGGTCTGGAACCCTTCAGACAGAGCTCCTAATTACTGTGTAGGAAGGTGTAATAAAGTAACAGTGCAAGCAAAAAATAACCATCAGCCATTTGAAACACAATGAATGTAGCAGCATTTTTAAGAGCTGGGAAAGGCTATGCCTGCTCAACTCCCTTCTGCAAAAAAAAAAAATCCAACTTTTCCCCATATTTCATCTCCACAGTGATGTCATATAATAATGATCTCATTGAACAGATGGAACAGAATTCAATCAGGATTCAGAAAATTCATCACTAGGATCCATTGTGTCTTACAGCAATACTAGCAGGCATTGTGACAGGTATAAGAATGTAAATGAGGGAGCCTGCAATAGTTGTTAGTGTAAAATGATTCAGATATTTGCATAATGTTTGCACATATTAGTGCATTTTAAAAATTAAGTATTTTTTAATACTTCCCTATTTTGCCACTAGTATTGTTTACTACATCATCTCAAATGCTGGAGCAGAGGGAATGCATTTCTAGGCATAGCCACTGCAGAAGTAATTTAGAACTAATGATGTGGAGTCTGCCTACTGCCATTTTTTAAATTTAAAAAACATTTTTTTAAAAAATCTTGTTTTTCTAGGTGTAAGAGCATAAAACCATTTGGAAAATATTTATACAGAGAAAATAGATACATGAGAATTAGGGAACAGTGAAACAAAATGACAAGAGAAGCCTGCTAACAGTCAACATGGTCCTGAATGTGAACTAGACGCCAAATACTTGATGAGGACACCCAAATCATGGCAAAAATACTGCTTACATTTATTGTGTAACAAAAAAGTAATGTAATCTATATGTTTCTAAGAAACAAGAAACTGTTCATTTTAATCACTGTTTTTTTGTACACCTTAAAGCTAACTGGGGAGGACACCCCTTTGAACATCACAGTTGGGTGAACTTGCCAGGAGTTACATTTTTAATTTCAGCACAGCTACAGTACATTTATGTGTTTAAAAGGCTCTACATATGTAATTTCTTAATATTGCATGAAAGGTGGCTTTTCCTTTTTCCTATTTTCCTTTTTCCTGTTTTCCTTTTTCCTATTTCTGATTACCTGCAGGAGAAGTGCCAAGAGCAGCACAAAGTCAAGCTAAGGCTTCAAAAGAAGGAAATGATGCTTAGCTGTTAGCTCTAAACTCCCACATTATTCAGGGGGATCTACCCTTGTCACATATGGGAGCAGCAAGGATGTGTCTACAGCAGATGATTCAAAGGTTGCTGAAATAGAGCTCTTGAACTCAGTCTCACACCCTATTATGCCCAAACACCTGAAAAACTGTCTCAGCTATGAGAGGAAAAGGACTGCAAACCAGGGTGAACTGCTCCATCCCTGCCTCATCACCCATCACCTCTCTTGTTCAATCCCAGTTGCTGCATTTCCTACAGTGAACCAGGTGCACTGATGTGTGATCATTAGGATAAGGATTTGCTCTGACTGAAGATATCACATACACACCCTCATACCTACTAGCCGATCACATGGGCTCTAAAGCTCTACCTTTGCAGGCTCTGTCTGACAATGAACTATCACTAATTCAACTTGTTACTAAAAGCTAAAGAGAAAAAAAAGCAGGCTCTTTAATAAAAAGTCTAAATGAACTATTAGACATAGAACATAGAACTATTAATTCCTGACTTCTCTAGAACTCCAAAATTAAACCTGCAGTATGCATTCAAGAATCTGAGGGAGAAAAGATTCTATGACTTAATGCCCAAATATTACCATGTGTGCAGTTTATTTTGTCAATATTGTGATTCACACACCATTTTCTGAATTTCAGTGTGGGAGTGGAAACTGGAGCTGCTGCAATCACTGGGGAAGCATAAAAATGGATGAGAGGACAAGCAATCAGGAAAGCTCATGAGCAGTCAGGTGCAGATTGTAACATCACATCTGTTTCCATGAGTATGGTACAACATTTAATTTCCCTAGGTCAAATCTGGCAAGGTTGCTGTATTACCACAATAGCCAGGAGGGGAAAGTTTAATATTGATGCCACTCTAGAAAGGGAAGACACCACTTTAGCAACTCCATTCTTACTTCTGCCATGTACCTGAAATCAAACACCATACCCTGCAAGTTCCCCATCCCTATCCAGGGCTCTGTTCTGACTGACAAGCACCAGATGCTTGCTTTACCAAGGTACAAGCAAAACAACCAAGTCCCTTGAAATCTCACCTTGAAATCATCAGGAATGAGGAGTTTTGATGTCCTTAAGAAATTCAAGATATATCTGAACATCTGCCCATCTCTGTCAATGAAATAATGCTGCTTGAGACTGTCGAGGACAATGGGCTCTGTGCCATCGAAAAGCCGGCCGATTCTGGAGAGGAAACAAGACACAAGGAGCAGAGTCAGACCAAGCTCAGCTCAAGAACTGCTCAAGCAGCCCAGCACTACAAAACCCTCCCATGCAAACTTCACTAAAGCAACTCTGTGGCTTTGTTTCATTAGAAAAGGGCTGGTTTCAAACCACTGTGTAAGCCACATATTTTCCAGCGTGGCCTCATGCTCCAAGCAGCACAGCTGGGGAGGTGAAAGGGAAGGAGCCAGGCCAGCAGCCTCTCCTACCCACTTCACTGCCCCAATCTGGATCTCATAAGATGACAACCTCTCAATTGTTTTGGACACCTCTTTTGATAGTCCCCTTCAGCACAGCCCATCCCCTCTAGATGCTCCAACGCCCTGGACTGACTCATTCTGCTTTCCAGAGCACTGCATAGGGAACTTGATTTAGTTAGGAAACTGTATCTGGGGAATAGTTTGGTTTGGTTCTTTGCTTGGTTCTCACTTGTTTTTTAAACCCAGGTTACTTTTTAGATGCCATTTACTGCAACCAACACTAGGGCAGGCACAGCTGAGGTGAGGGGCAGCACACTGGGGTAAATATAAAGATGGGGGTACAGAGTTGATAACATTTCAATGTGAGGTAATGCTTTAGTGTAAAAGTTAAGTGCTTGTGGCAGGTATCAACCAGAACACTCAAATAACACAGAAAAAAGTCTCAGCTTTTAGATACCACCCACTGACCACCAGAACCACACAACCACCTGGACAGCCTCTGCTTGGCAACAGGTCCTGCAACATCAGCCAGGTGGGTGCACATACATTTCTGGGTGTGAGTATCCCAAACCAGCTTTAGTTAGAGCAATAGGAAGAGCTGAAAACGCCAAACAAAACCCTCAGAGAGTAACACCAAATAAATGTTTTGTTTCTGCACTGGGGCATTTGCAAAACACTCCTGAGTCACTGGTGGTTTCCCAATGAAATGAGCAGGAGTGACTGGCAGGTCTGATTTTGTGTGCCTGTTCATATGTCTGTAGTGCAGTGCGGAAGTACTTTCTGACAACAAACAGTCATGGCACACTATTTTCGTTTTGTTTTAAAAACAATGAATAAACAATGAACTCCCACTACCAGCAATAAAAAAAAAAAAAGAAAGCCACCAAATACTCAGAGATGGTCAGCCCTCCTGGCTGTAGAAAGCACCCCAGGCTGAGAGATGCCCCATCCACTGGCCAGCCGAAGGGGATGTCAGGAAGGCGTTCAAGAGGTGGGAGGCAGCAGGGCTTGCAGCAGGGTCTCAGGGAACTGCAGAGGGGAAGGGCTCCAGGTGACCATACACTGTGTTGTATCAACAGCCAAGTATCTTCCCTTTGGAAATGGCACAGGCAGCCCAAATTGAGTTTGGAATGATGTCTGTGCCTGGAGCAGGTATATATATATATATATATAGATAAGTTGTGAACAGAATACAAATCTCATCTATAGTTTCTCACCAGCTGGGAGGAGACCAGGAAAGAAATAAAACTCCATTAACCCCAGCTGGCCATTTACAATTCCCTAATAAACGTCTGAATCAATTCAAGTTGCATGAAATCTGTAACATATAAGGAATTAAATGTATTTTGCATCATGAGCAGGTACAGAACACTTTTTTCTTTCAAAGCCATCCCTTGAACTATTCAAGCTTTCTTCCTCAAAGACTTGTTACTGCCTGCCCTGCTGCTCAAAATTTAAACTGTGACAGCCCATAGAACACAGGCTCCTCTTCACTTGGTGTATGAGCCACATTTTATGTCTAATATGGAAGCACTCAGCATTTAGAATTAATTTTCCCTTATACTCAAGCATGTCATCTTCAAATTTATCACGGAATTCACACACAAAACATGTATTTGGCCAAGTCAGTCATTACTGAAATGTATAATTGTAATTGGTTTCTGCAGCATTTTCCTAGTTCTAAATTACTTATATAATTACATATTTTAAACCTCTAGGCTTTTTGTCTCCATTTTATTAATTGTTTAGAGAAGAGCAAGATAGTATCAGAGGATGGAGTCTTCTGACAAAGCCATAATGCTGAGGAGAGCGCTCAGCCACAGGGTGTGCTACCTGGGACCTGAATGGCTTTGGGAATGGGCAGGAAGTGTTAACAGAAAGTGCTGCCTTAGTGCTCTGCTATTCTGCAGCAGAAGCAGCAGCAGCAGCAGCAGCAGCAAAAAAATCCCAGGAACTGCAAAGTCACAACTCCCTCCTGACTCCCCTCCCAGGATCACTCTGCAATACACAACTGCACTTCCACATATTAAAACAGCATTGGAAGGCTAGACCCCCAGCAGAGAAACTTCTGTAAAGAAAATTGATTAATTTCTGTAAAAAAATAAACACTTTTTTCCTTTCCAGATGGAAAAAATGTAGATTCCAGCTTCCTTCATATGTCCTTCAGGGAAAAACTTTAGATACTGTGGGATCCAAATCTGGTGACATAGTTCTGCTCCTAATCTGCATTTGCTATACCCATCAGGAGAGGAGATTGGGCTATGCCAGGATTTGGGGAACAACCAGCATCCTCACCTTCCAGCCACACCAGGAACTCTTGGGTTCCTGGGGGTACAGTGGGAAGCACTTTCTCATGCCTCACTTGTCACCCCCTCTGTACAATACCATTTGATAACCATCCTCCCTGCCACCCATAGCTTTGCTGGCACTCCTCCCTCACAGTGGGATTACTCATGCTTAGGAGACACCAGTTTGCTGGCACAAGAAGGGACTGGTAAATCATTATAATTTCACTTCCCAAGAAAACCTGAAAGATATTTTTCTCCATCTCCTTCTTGACAATGTTGGCTAATGATTGGCAAAGACATCTTTCTTTTTTAAATGACGAATGCATAACAGGTGAATGGAGTTTTGAGACAGGAAAGCGCTCTGAAATAGGCTTGCAAAATAAGATGATAATTATATGCAGAATTAGCCAAATATCAAGGGTAAAGGATAAGAAACCGCAGTCCATTTACAAGAAAATGTGCTTCTGAAATATTTAATTAAAACTAACAGGCTGGAATTTTCCATATATCAGAAAAATTAATGTCCCATGGGTTGAAAGTGCGACCTCCAATGGGTAATAATTAATGTCTGTGGCTTTAAGTATCATATTCCACTGTCAGAAATCGAATGCTTCAAGGGTTGAAAATATAACCAGCAGAAAACCCTGTTTCCATCAGAGAATTTGGTTTTACTTAAAGGACACAAACTAGGTATAGCTACAAGCCCTTGTTTACTGGAGAAAAAACAACAGGGAATGGAAAAGATCATTGTTTTAATTCCATAAAATACTACAGGGATGGATCTTTCTTCCCACAGATCAGCATTCCCGTAACAGCATTTCTATTGCAAAAAGCTAGCACATGAGGATGACATTGCTTGCAGGATTTCTCAAATTCTTCAGAAAAAAAGTCCTGCTTGTCAAATATAAAAACATACTGTCTGCAGCAAAACTGCATACATAGTGTGTTTATAGCCTTGCTCTCTTGTTGTATAAATATTTAAATATATTATTATTATACACATAAAGAGAAAAGACTGCACTTCAGTATATTCTGCCTCAGCTGGAAATGTGGGAAAGCAGCAATAATTAGGAACAAGATGGCCAGTACTAATTAAACAAGTCAACTATTGCAAAACTCTCTTAATGCCAAGAAAAATGACAGAGTTCTGCAGATTGTTTTAATGGCTTCACTGGAGAGAGCTGAAATTCTTCCTTTCTGTAATCAAAAGGATACAGGGTACATGGAAAAGCTGCAAGCCTTGATGTTTGCAGACATGCAGGATATTACCTCACTTTCAAACTAAGGTAGAAATAAACATTTTTCTTCTCTGAGAAAACACAGGTTTCTTATAACTGAATATATTCAGTATATCACTTCTCATATTAACATCTTTATCAGAGGACACAACAAACTCCAAACCAACTGAAAATCTTCTGCAATAAACTACTTTCAACAGTTCTGAGCTGTCAGGGTTCCCTGATCCCACATGTCTTTCACAGAACAACAAAAAAGGGAGGAAAAGTGGTGAGAAGTCCTTTTTTTAACCCCCCTGAGGGGACTGTGCAGCAGGAGGAGCATCAGTGATGCTCTGGGACCTGCAATCCTACACTGTGGCAAGGCAAATAGCTGCCTGGATTTCACCGAGGGTGGATATTCAGCAGAGCAAAATACTCATGAAAGCACATTTCTCTCCCTCCCATAATGAATCACAAGACAAAGTAAATGTATTTTATTTGAAATCTTACTCATCTGGTTGGAGCCACTGCAGTAAAGTGATTAGGAATTTGGTCCTTAAAAGTTAAGTGCAAGTTTTATTATCACATCATTATATTTATGTGGCTAATGGGAACGCTTATTTAACACTCTGGAGTGTGTGGAGAGTGAGCTGGAACTCAAAAAGGCTTTCAGGTTTTTTTTTTTCTCTGCAACTTTTTAGTCCAAGCTGTCCTTATTAATTTCTTTTCATTTTCTTTTACTGAAGGCTCAAAGGCAATTTGCATAAAAGTCCATTATAAATTAGATCTGTTTAATGGTATGCTCATCTCATGGCTATTTAATTTTACTTCCTCGTATGTCTAAATTATATAATTTTGCACTGTTCCCTAGCAGCTAATACAGTTGAAGAGGTGTCTATGCCAGTGAGAAATGTTATCCTACCCAAGTGGAGAATGATGAGGTTTCTATTTTTTTTTTTCTTTTGAGCACCACTTTGACAGTATCAACCTGCTTTTCTTTTTTTAATAACTCACATCATTTGGATCCATAGAGACTGAAAACATAGCAACCTTTATAACTCTGCACAACAAAAGTTGGCTCATAAACGTAACAGAATACATTTGCAATTTTCAGGAACCTATATTACAAAAACTGCATTTTAACCAAATAACCTGTTGTAATCTCTTGCTCTCAGTGCTATTATAATTTGTTCTTATCTTTTTCTTCTTACATTTAATTTAAGGTTTCGTGTCCATGAGTCTCAGGAATTCCTTGG